TTCTCAGAAATGAGATATTTTCCCGCTGTAAAAAGTATCCTATATGTTGACCCGGATAACCAGCTATCACCATACCAAGTTTCATCAAAATCCCTCCAAGGGTTTTTCTGTGATGCGGTAACAGACAGACAGACAAAAATTTTAAGAACTACGAGTATATAATTATAAAAACTATAGATTCGGCCTCTGTGTCGATAATAATGTCTATTTCAATAAGATTTTTCAAAAAATATTTAATGTACATTCGGCTTAGTTACAATTTTATTATATGTATAGATTAATAGTTATCTAATTTTTGACCGTTAACCTACTTTTATCGGTACAAAAATAGCCTATAGCACTCGGCAATGTGAGGTAATGTAGTCCTATTAGTGAAAATTGGATTAGTACCTACTTTCAAAGAAATTTCCAAAATTGGATATTTGTTTCAGAGATTACTCTCTACGTACAAACTTACATACGTTTATAATATTAGTGTAGATAACGGCTGGCAAAATCCAATCAAAACGTCTAGAACAAGATATTTTGCCACTTACAGTATATACCTACGAGTTACGTCCCATAGTGTTATTTTATAAGATCTTTTGAATTAAAAAAAATATAAGTTTAATTTATCGTTTTAGTCGATTCTGAGGATGCATTCAGCTCGAGCTCTCCTTCCTGTGCCTCTAAAATCTATATACAAGACATTATAATACACAGAGGCAGGCAGTTAGCTTGTTATGAAATAAAATTCTTAAATAACATCGCTCACTATGACTAATCGCTCTCAGTAGATTCATTGAAAATATCATTTAGTTTGCGTTTAGGCATTTAAATAAAATTGTGATAGAAGCGTGCCAAACAATCTAAACACATAATAAAATTGTAACTAAGCCGAATCTGTACATTAAATATTTTTTAGAAAATCTTATTGAAATAAACATTATTATCGATACAGAGGCCGAACCTATAGTTTTTAGAATTTTTGTCTGTCTGTTACCGCATCACAGAAAAACCACTGGAGGGATTTTGATGAAATTTGCTATGATGATAGCTGGTAATACGGGTACATATAGGATTCGCGACTTTTTCCGCGGGCAAATATCTTATTTCTGAGAAAAAATACAAAAACTGCAATGTAAGAGTATACTAATATGTAAAACCTAAGAATGTGGTTTTTGGTCATCTGAACGCGGGCGGAGCCGCGGGCAATGCTAGTTTATAATATTATCATAGATAGGTATACAAGAATTACTCAATGTTTAATATGATAAAATACGTACCCGACAGGTCATCCTTTATTGCGCCGGATGTTATAAGTTTGATCCCACTCCGAAATAAAACTCGAAGGCTAAACTGTAGACTGTTGTCTCATCCATTAGCCCAGTTTTATATTTCATCCAGTTCATATCAATCAATAATTTTATTTTAATATCCATACTTTCCATGGTTACAACACATTGTTATTCAAAGATTGTTTGTTGATGCATCAAATAAAAAATATATATTATCTTAAGTTGCTCTATATTATTTTGGACCTGTGTCAGATGTGTCATAACAGACATGCTTACAAAGACTTCATGGCATTTATTTAATTTTTGAATGTAGCAGTGATTTGAATACTACGTACAATGTATGTAGGTGTATTTCTTTGGCACGCTCGGTACTTTAAACTGTTTGATGGATTCGAGCACATGAGAAATCGTATCATAAAAAAATATGTAACAAACAAAAACAAAAAAGTATATTCCGTTTTCATGCTACCATTTTGATATAATCTCCAAAAACGTAGTACTTTTAATTTCCTATACATTTGATCTTTTGTTGTTGTAAACAGGCTACATTTTCGTATTATAACTACTAGCGACTTACCCTTGCTCCCTTTTGGTGCGTCCCTAGAGTTCTCTTCATTAGGTACTCCTTCCAAATCTGTGTACTAAATTTCTCCTTTCGTTCAGCCATTTTAGCGTGGAGGAGTAACAAACATACACACATACAAACTATAATAGCAATCGGATTACATAAATAAAAAACGAAAAATTATGTATATACGTAATATATAGATACTCTACCTTTAGGTACTGTATGAGTAAAAGCGTGGACGACAACAATTGTGTTGCAGAGGAAAAATCGCGAGATTTTCAGTAAATCTGTAAATATGAATCGCTAGGCGATGGCGAAACAACGGCACAGGCGGCGCGCGGACCAAATTAGACGCTGGCACTCAACGCGCCTGGCTACTGCGGCTAAATCTTTGGTTTTTGCGGGACAGAAATTAAAATTATCCTTCCTGAAACTTCGGGAATAAAAACCCAAAATAAAATCTCAATTAAACCCAAAAAAAAAACATATAAAATATCAAATATTCGCGTAAATCTAAGAAAGTATTGAAGCTATCCATATCATCATTAATAAAACATGGTAGAAAAAAGAATAAGGTAACCTTAACCTTACGCTCTCTCCATATAATTCTTTGTTTTGAATAAGTATTCAGGTACTGTTTATTTGAATCTCTCAATTTCTTAAAGTGAAACTTCTTTAGAATCGTTGTGATTTGTAACTCTATGAAATGGAAATGCGACACTAGAAAGAGACAAACAAAGAAATATATAGAATTAAGCCGACGGGAGAATGAGTTAGAATATATTACACAGGAAGTGAAAAATATTAAAAATAATATTGTATAATATGTAATGTAATATTAAATGCTAAATAAAATTCAAAATAATTTTTTTATATTTTTTCCCAAAAAAAAAACAGGATTTCGCAAAAAAAGTTACGCTCAGGTACATATAGTACATTAACATATAACATTAACATTTCAACGTTACATATTATGTTTACAAACTGTCCATGAAAATCACGTTTTTATGGTGACTGCACCAAACGGAGCTTTTCTACGCGTTATGCAATAACGCTCGAGACGCATCAGTCGGTCAGAAACTCGCGGTCAGTGTTGTGCTCGTGTGTGTTACGTTCTCACTCCTGAATCTGTTATATCGCAATAATTATATGAAAATCTGTTTATTCACAACCAAAGGTTCGTTTAATCGTGACTAATTGTTTTTAGATAATTTTATCTTAAATTTTATTACAAAATAAAATTAAAGCTCTCTAAGGTCAACAAGACTATTACGGACTTTTTAAATAAGTTTTTTTTTTATTTTAAGATTTTTTTTACATCTGAGATGTTAAAAAATCTAAGTATTTAATGACTAATGTAGAGATTTACGCATACATAAACGTATTTAAATTAATGATATGAAGAAGTTAGTGCTTTTAAATGAAAAATGTGGTTTTTATGGCTAATAAATAAACGAAATACCTATAAAAGTTTAATTAAAAAAAGTTTAGAGCATTGCTATAATATATATAATACATTACCTCGACCGGGATCGAACTTTTACCGAAAGCTTTCCGGTCAGAAACTTTTATATTGTAAGACTTAAAAATTGAAACTGTTTTTCAGATATTACGTACTGTTATTTGTAAAATTCTTCGAGAAAATAAATTAAACGTGCTCAAGGACTAGCTACAGTTGATGATCTTTGAAGACAGCCGTACGGACAGACAGTCATTAATTTTCTAATTTTTTTATAGATAGTTAAAAAAGTTCTTCAAATTTTATAAAAGATACAATGTACTTATGTAAATTATGTTTTAATATTCAGACGTTGAACTTTTTAATAATGCGAGTTTATTTTTTGCGCACAAAAATTTTAACGGTTTTTTCTACTGGAATGTTTGTGATGAGCCGTTATAGAGTCGTTATTTCATTTTGATTGATAAAATATTAAAATTTATGTAATATTGCATATGTATTAAGGTTTAAGGTTATATTATTATAATATAAAATTGTTTTGCATATAAACTTTTTTGATTTCAAACGTTTTGAGGTGACATTTTACTTATTACTCAAAAGTTACTTTACCTAATTCTTATCTGGTAGTCTTCGCGTTTAGCTATTTTCTAAAATTAATAATATCTATAATAAGAATGCGTTGTCTTTGATTAATAAATTATCATACATACATATGGAATACATAAATATAAAATGTAAATCTTATCAGCAGCTCGGAAGATGTACTGCGCCGACCCCAAGTGATTGGGAAATGGGCAGGGAGATGACGATGAAAATATAAATATGAAATATGTACCTATACAATACACTGATCTTTTTCCACTTACAAATAATTCTCAAAAATTTACAAATCGCTAGGATAACTTCATGTACAACAATTATTTGAGGTTATACCGAATTCCGGGAATTCTTATATTATTTTTTATATAGCATCATAAATGCATAGTTTCTTAAAGGACATATTGAACGTTGAAAGATGTTCAAAATCTGAATCATATTTAGGTAAATAGTCTGTGAATAAGCTTGAGTTTATACATACGTATACGTTCAAAATATACGTAACTGTTACGTTATTTATAGTTAGTTTTAGTATTCTTAGGCTATGAAATAATCGAGAAAAACATGATACTTTGATGAGGTCGAGGTTTCATTTTGATGGCCAACGTAGTTTTTCAAGCAAGGATATTTCTACTTGAGGCAGTGAAAGCATCTATCATCACATGTATTTAAAAAGAAAATAAGGCTAAGCACATCATTAGGGTTAAAAACATTTTGAAACGACGTAAAAACTCGAATCGTTGCACAATGGTCGATGTTTCACGTAAACAAGACGTAAAGTTCGCCCGGCAACTGTTTTAAAAGTTTATTTTCGTATCAAAACTCTTAAAAATGTAGACCTTATGTTACAATAGATAGAGGTCACAATTCTCTAACTAATATCGGAATTTTTAAGTAGAAGAATAATACTGTATCTGTTTGAGATTCCTATAATATCGAGAAAAGTTTGTTAAATATAAAAATAAATGTATTGTCGTAAGCTCTGCATTTGAAAATCTGGCGCGAAACCCAATTAGTCATGATTTAAACGAACATTTGACGTTATTTGTAGTGAAAAAATCAGAAAGTGTAGTGTAAAGTGTAAAAAAAAATTGCAAAAATGATGACGATAAGCGAGAGTCAGTACTCATCAAACAAGATGTCCAGCATCCATAAGATCAACGACCGGGTGGTACACCGGGACAGCTTCGACGACGTCAAAAGCTCCTCTAGCGTCAACAGTTCTTTAATCACTAAGCGAGGCTTCAAACCCTCGGACATGTTCGACCCCAAAAAAAAAGAGTTCCTCACCAACCTCAGCTACAAACTGTTCCCTGTAAGTTGGGTAAGTTACTGTACTTATAGTCCTAAGCTTCGGAGGCGTTGGATCTGGTATTTATGTATGTATTATTTATGTATTTAAGTATATTATTGTAGTTAGTTTACTAGATTACTAATATTTCTTTATTTGGCGCGTTTATAGTTAAGGCTAAATAGAGATCGACAATATTTTGACTGTTCTGAAAGATATGAAAAACTGAATTTTATTGGAGAATAAAAACAACAGAATGAGATTTAGGTAAATTCATTTCGTTTTTGTTAAGTTGAAATTTCCTCATTGCCATCACAAATAGAACAACATAAAATGGGATAATATTTATACTCGTAAATATATACGATTCCTGCTATCTCTTTATTTAATATTCACGTCCCTTTTATCTTACAAAGTACTATTTCCTACACCAAAGAAAAATCGCATCTTTAGCGATAAGGCAAGGCTGCTTATTTTTTGTATGTATTCTATTAATTTTTTTTGGTGTATAATAAATGGATAATTATTATTATCATAAACAAGCGATAGCGATTATAGAAAATGAAAAGTAAATCTCGCTAAAGGACGATTTTAATATCACAAGTATAGAATACTATAGCTATACTAATAAATTATTGGAAACGTGTATAAAATTTGTAATTAAACGTTATACTTGTTGTGGTTCCATCGCGTATTACGACTGCATTTATCGTATCTGGCCCGACTCCAGGTGGTGGCTGTGGAAATAGATCGTTCCTTGAACGCATTCACATCTAACAATTGGTGTATTATGTGGGTAGATTGATGACAAACTACGTCTGGCAGAACACTGCTTGGTGAAGCTTTGTGGTCATATACAAATGATATTTAATATTTTCTTTTTCAACTAATTAAACATAGTAAAACCAATCAACATTATTTTTGCTTTAAATTATTACAATTTTTGATTAAAAGTCATAAGTCTAACAGTTTGTATAGTAAGTCTTTTGCCAATGTTTTTCATTTCACTGCAATATTAAAAATAATCTATACTCTATACGGTACCATACTCCAGCCACTAAAATTTCTTATAGATAAACTACGACTTGCTGTTGTTTTTGTTGAAAAAGATAGATAAATCAACAAACACGCTTTTAATTCTTGGTTTACAGAAAACTTATTGCTTACTTTTTAATTTAAAATACACTTTATTATACAATTTTTTTGTTAATTTTTATTTATCTGATCATCTCCATCATGCTTCTCTGTTCTACGTGACATTGGCGTAGGAAATTGTGCTCAACTGTCACACGTAAAAGCAAGTTACAAGAAAATTACATTAGACTAACTTCACTTTATCTAGTTTGTTTTGATTATATACATAGACTAGCGTTTGGTCGCGGCTCCTTTCGCTTATTTTCTTTATGTATAAATTATCGACTCCTAAGGGTCATAGCGTGATGATAGATAGCTTCAATAAATAAGCTATAAAATGTGAAAATAGACAGTGGTAGCTCAGTGGTAACGCGCTCGATTGGGAAACCGAGTGAAGCGGGTTCAAATCCCGCGTCACGTACCTCTGATATTTTCATGTGCGAATCATTTCTAACATGATTACCTGTCTTACGGTGAAGGAAAACATCGTGAGGAAACCTGCATGTAGGGAACCTAGCATATTTTCGAAAGACATGTGAAGTCTACCAACTTCCACTTGGCCAGCGTGGTGGACTATGGCCTGTTCCGCCTCGTATTGAAGGGAGGCCCACCCCCAGCAGTGGGTCGAATACAATATGCACTGGTAGTTCCAGAGACTAGCGAGTTCTAAGAAACAAACGAACAACATCCTTATAATAGTATAAAATAACCCAAAAGACCAGTATTTAGAAACTTCATCGCAAAATTTACAAAAATGTATGTGAAAGAATGATTATATCACCCGAATAAAAAATATTCGAACTTTATAAATCGTGAGTTCTTCAAGGTTTTAGAAACAAATTGTGTTAACCGAATAAAAGTCTATTTCAGACCGCATGATGCTGATATTATGTAATTAGTTTTGGTTATAGAAGATTTTAAACATATCGTCTTTTGGTAATAGTTGTATCTATTGATTGATTATATTCTTTACTAGCGACTTCCCTCGGCTTCGCTCGGGTGTGTCCATAGGTACGTTATAGGTTATAGGTAGGTAGCGAAACCCTAATTTTTTTAATAAAATAATAGTACCCTAAGTTACCCCTTATAACTTCAGCTATCTGCTAGTGAAAGTCCCGTTAAAATCAGTCCAGCGGTTTCGGAGATTATCCAGAACAAACAGACAGATAAACGCAAATTTAAAAAAATGTGTTTTTTTTTATTATAAGTACCGTATATAATTTAATATGCATAAAGTAAAAGCTGTTATTTTGACATTACAAACAGACACTTCAATTTTATTTATCTTTATAGATTTATGTTACCTAGTTATCGAAACTTTCGATAATACATTATATATGTAAGTATATTTACCTTACCTATATTATAAACTAATAATTTTTAGAACGGGGCCGATCATATTTTTTTCAGAATCTTCTCTTCTCTAAGTAACATAATTATTGGCACTCCGGAGCGAATATATATTGTAATACCTAAATTCTAAAAACTCTTTTCTTCCTTGACCACGATCGCTGTATAACATTCGAAAGGCCGGGAAACAAAAATCTAAATAAATCAGCGAAAAAATACGAACAGATAGTTTTATTCAAATGAAATCAAAATAAATCACCGAAATAATCCGAACAGATAGTTTTATTTAAAACTAACGACTCATTCTCGCTTCGCTCTGGTTCGTCCCTAGCTTATTTCCCCATACAAACTTTCATCCCCATTATCACCCCCTTAAGGGATGATTTCCGGGATAAAAACTATTTCACTCGCTCACTTTTCATATCATGAGAATTAAAAAAAAATCTTATTTTAGTAAAAAAATAATAATTTTATTCTATACAAAACTCCCCGAAAATAACAAACACAAAAAAAGAATTATCCAATTTGGTGCAGTCTATCCGAAGTTTATGTCGCGTACATATATTTCGGCGATTCATTCTTATTTATATAGATTAAAATGTATATTAAATATTATGTATACTGTATAGTATTCTTAATAGGTTTGTATGTCATATGTATTATATTTTCTGAAGTAAACTAACCTCCGTTTCTATCAATGGCGTGTTTTGAAACGTTGCACGTGTTTTAGTCATACGTACGACAAAGATATATATAACAATAAGTAGGTATGTTTTGAAATTTAAGTTCTTAATCGTGTTATATTAATATTGGGTGCATTTTTAATTGTAAAAAAATATATTTGTAAAGTAAGCTTTTTATTTGATACTTCACATTGCATTTTAAGAACTTTTATGATTTTCTAAGTTGATGATTGATGATCGATTGATTGATTACAATTCTTTTATCACTTAACTCTATTTATATATCTGCCAAAACTTTTCCTGTCCTGTGTTATCCTGTTAAAAGTGTTTCATTTATAGATTTTTCGTCTCTTTCCTTTTTCAGTGAGATGGTCGTGCGTACATAACTACACACGTGTGTGTGTATGTGTGTGTTTGTGTGTGACAGACAGACTATAATCTGAAGTAACAAAATTTTCCAAAAGGCGATGTCTTTATACTATACAAAAGGCATTTGTCCCTAATCCAAGAAATATAAATACGAAAGTTTGAATGGATGTTTGTTACTCTTCCACGCCAGTATGGTTAAACGGATCTGGATGAAATTTGGCATAGAGATAGATATAGAAAAATATATCCCGTGGGATTTGTTTTTGTTCTTCATTAGGGACGAACCATAAATGTGACAGCTATCGATAATACCTAAACTTTTTATATTTTCGAGACTCTTTCCAATTCAATCCCGCATATACTAAATATGGATTTGTGAACTAAGCGATCCCATCTGTTGATTGAGCACTCCATATTAGTATTGCATATTTTGGACCATTACATATAGGAGTTATAATGTAATCAAGCTTCATAAAAATTTCCATTTACAAAAGCATAAAATTAACTTTATCAAAGCTTTAATCGTCGGCACCATATAAAGAGACCATTTAGATTATATACGAAAAATGGAATTAATTTTTATGTGTTAGGCACACATATAGGTTAATGCACTTCAACTTTTACAGCAATATATCGCGATAATCGCCCAACCGTTTCTGTAAGCTCCTTCTAAAATTTATTTTATTGCCCATTTGTTTTTTATATACTTTTTTTTATATATTTGGTAGCCCAGTGGTAGCGCACTCGTTTGGGATATCGAGTGAAGCGGGTTCAAATCCCGCGGGTCTCGTAGTTCGCACCTCTTATATTTCTTGTGCGAATCATTTACAGCACGATTACCATTTGTCTTACGGTGAAGGAAAACATGGTGAGAAAACCTGCATGTCTGAGAAAACATAGCAAGTTTTCGAAAGACATGCTCAGTCCGCTCACACTTGGCCAGCGTGGTGGACTAACCCCTCGTATTGAAGAGAGGCCCGTGACCAGCAGTGTGGCGTTAAAATTTGCTGAATACATTTATTTTATCATATCACATCACATTATTTATTTATTTATTTATTTATTTATTTATATATTTATTTAATATATTTATTTAAATCCCATCACCGATGCCATTCCTAAAAAATCGAATGGCAAATTCCTTATGTAACAAAAAAAAAACAAAATTAGCTTCTTGCAAAATGGTCAAAGAATCCTTAAAATATTACTTAGTATTAAGAATTATTTCTATAAAAATAAGATTTGCTTAAACTAGGTACTAATAAAAAAAGGGAAGAAGATTGACAACTTGTCAACTTCCCATCTGTGCTATAAGAAATTTTCTGGTCCATGTACTGTACATTCAATCACAACAAGTGAACAAGCCAAAAATTTCTTCATTACCTACAAATAAGCTGAAAATTCACGAAAACCGATAGAATGTTGGCAGGTGTTCAAAAAGAGCAGACATGTCGTTGTACTTCCTCGTCCGGAAAATTAAAATAGCTGTAGACTTTTAAAGCGAGAAATTAAGCCATGAGCACTCTTCGCGATATATTAACCCAAAATAAGTCTACTTAAATCTTCATCGTCAAAATTCTTTAGAAGCCAGAGTATTTATTAAAGCTGGCGCTTTTTCAATCTTTCAGCAATCTTCGATATTCCTTTCTAAGACATTGTTTTTTAAATTTGTTTACGGTTTTCAAACAAATTCGAATTCTAAGTAAAAATGTGGGTGTCTGACCGATTTCAGTCAAGGCGGCCAATCCTAATAAGAATAGCCATCTGGGTAGAAGATATTAGAGTGCATGCGCGTAAACACGAATTCTATATCTATATCTTTCACTCTCAAATTTCATTGTGACGAATTGGACACGATCGGTGAGAGATCAGGTGCAGGACTACCTTAGAGCCTCTGACATGGGAACAGGCTTATTACAAACTAGCGACTCACTCTCGCTTCGCTCGGATTGGTCCCTAGCTTGCTTCCCAATACAAACTTTTATCCCCATCATTTTTACATCCTTAAGGGATAATTTCCAGGATAAAAATATCCTATATCCTTCCCAGGGTCTTAAACATCTTCTTAGCAAATTTCATCTAAATCGGTTCAGTAGATCCAGAAATTACCCCCACAACGTCACAAACTCACAAACTTTACCTCTTTATAATATTAGTAGATATACATTATATTAAAGCGGCATTTTTGTCAATACATAAATTAAACTTATGTCCGCCGCCTGCAAACTGTAGATACTTTAAACATAGTACAGACATATCTCGCACTCAGTAAAATAAATCAAAATTAACTATGACTAACCAAACAAGTGTAATGGTTTTTAAATTCAAGTAGTCTATAATCATGATTCTAATATTGTTTTGATTGATTTAGAATCTTCGAATGATTTCGTCGTAAGTGGACGAACTCTCGTTCTCATTCCTCCTGGACAATGAACCTGAACCCGCCAACGCGTTGAAAAATACCGTGTTATTTGCATATGCGAATGTCAAATGGATTTTTTTAGTACATTGACGTGATCTGGGTAGTGTTTTGCTTAATGTAACCGAGTTCTTTGGTAACAAGTGTCGAATTAAAAGCATCTACCGAGTTTCTTTCCATGCTTAGTATTCATTCTAAATGGTTTAAAAAATGAAGTAAATTTTTAAAAAGTATCTAATCTTTTTCCACAATCTGTCGATTAAGCTTAATACAGTGTGTTCGATGATAAGTTGCCTTATCCTTTTATGAAGCAATATAATTTAGGGGCAGAAAAATGACGTTATTACTCTGCCAAAACTTACCAAATATCATCAGTATAAAGTTATTTTATATTTATCGATAGCAGAATTCGTAACGACGGTGGGGACATGTGCAAAAGCGCAGGTGTCAGTGCCAGCTGTAAATTAAACAAAATGATAACTTGAACTGTACACCACATTTTACATACACAAACTAGATAGACGTAATAATGCATTTCAAGTTTTAATTTGACAAGAGGTACATTTTAAATTGTATATTTTGTCGATGCAAAAGTAAATATTGATTATTTCTTACTCTGATCTCATTCAGCCAAAATTAATTACTAATATTTCGATTGTTGTACAGACTGTAACAGCTATAGATATCTGACAGAAGTTCCGAATCTCAGTTATCTAATCTAGATAGGTAGATGTGGCTTTTTTAGTGATTGTTTTTTTTGTGATTGTGACCGTATGTATGTACCGTATGTATGTAATCAATTTCATATTTGTATTGGCCATTCAAAAATAAGAAATGTAAACAATTTTACTTGGAAGAGATTAAGTAACTTTGTCTGATAATTTAGTAGTTTGTTAGTAAATATATCTTTAAATTAGAGATTTTATTGTGATCTAGAAATCTAGAATATTATATTATTTTTACTACACGAATAAAAATTAAAGCAATAACATATTTAAATAAGAATTATGGATCATAAATTAAATAGACTTTTATTAATGGTGCTAAAACTCTTGTGTTCTTATAACACTAAACACAGCATAGAGTGCGAAAGTATAAAGAAAATATTTACATATCATACTGTTTATGAGCTTTGGTTATATAAATGTCCATACAAACTAATATTATAAATGTGAAAATTTGTGAGGATGTATGGATGTTTGTTACTCAATCACGCCAGAATGGCTGAACGGATCTGGATGAAATTTGGCACAGAGATAGATTATGGTCTGGAATAGCACAAAGGATTTTTATCCCAAAAAATGTACGATTCCCGTGGGGTAGATTTGTTTTTGTCTAGTCGTTAGTCCTCTATATAGATCGATCTTCATTTTATAGCTTCCATAAGACTAATAGCTAGAGAACAATACAGCAATTAAGCGTTTTATATCGGTTAGCAGTTTCAAAATAATTCATTGTGGAAATCGAACTCACTACTAATGTAGTAACTACATTAGTACATAACACAATGGGAATCATATAAGTATTCTTAATTAAGAGATTAATTAACATCAGATTATACGAGGTCTTGGCTACGTACGCGTGTGCATGTAATGAGGGATCATGCTGACTGATTACCACCGGCTGTTTGTATCTGCTCTAGATTCGTTTAGTACTTACTGTAAAGTTAACTACATATATTATTTATAATTTTTCAACAGATTTTTATGCAGTATGTAATATCAATATAATGTCAATCGATGCACCGACATAAGAAGTAGCACTGATCCATAAACTTTTTTTATGAAAAATTGACTTCGATCATATTAAGGACATACCAATAAACTCAACTGCGGTATATTAGTATTCTAATTACAATAAAAGTTATTCTAGAAAACAACGAAAATAATACTATATACAGCATTTACCATGTCATTGTAAAGACTGACACCGAGAACTCGGAGGAACGCGTAATTTAGGACGCAACGACTTTTTTTTTATAGTAAAAGGGGCAAGCGAGCAAACGACCCATGAGCGCGTGTGCGTGTATGCTAAGTAAGCTACGAGACTTGTGTTAAAGATAACAGATAGTTGATACATTACAAATATATAACTTTAAATACATACATATTTATAACCTATGACTGAGCACAAACATTCGTGCTCATCACACAAATGTACCCCGAGCGGGACTCGAACCCGCGACCGCTGACGCAGCAATTAGGGTCATTACAAACTGAGCCAAACGTGACGTCAAACGTGTGTATGTGCGTGCGTAAATGTTTGTTACTACTTAATGCTGAAACGGCTGGAAGGATTTGAATGAAAATTTGTACACAGATAGACTGTATGGACTAACACATACCTAGTCCATAGACATACACATACTGTTAAGCACCTAGCTAGGGACACACCCGAGCATAAAGTACTTAACTCCGAATATAAATTATTTCAAAACTGATCAAAGAACTTCATATTCATTTTGTATAGATGACCTAAATTACAAAATTGTAAAATATACGCTTGATTCTAATCATAAATTAGTACGTCTGGATGTGAGCCAAAACAACCGTCAAAATTTTATTTTTCGTTGCTAAGCGTTTTAAATATTACATTAAAGATATACCTTGCTGTAATTACTTTCCTTTATTACAGCTTGCTTTGTCTGTTTTTCTTAGTACAATATTTAAAATCTATTATTCAAACACTTGCTGGTTACCAAACAAACTGAAGCTTGACGTAATGCCACTTTGTTGAAAACATCGTGGAGCTGTTCTAATACATATATAACACTAGCGACTCACCCTCGTTTCGCTCGGGTTCGTCCCTAGCTTGCTTCCCAATACAAACTTTCATCCCTCATTTTCACCCCCTTAAGGGATAATTTCCGTTATAAAAAGTATCCTACGTCCTTTCCAGGGTCTCAAACTATCTTCTTACCTGTAGATGCAAAGATTACCCCCTACAACGTCACCAACTCACAAAATCACAAACTCATAAACTTTACTTCTTTATAATATTAGTATAGATTAAATCAAACCTTTTAAAATTTCACTGATAGACATTCGTTGGCTTACTGTTACAAGGTTCTATGTTAATTTTAATGAAGTTTAGTAATTTTTACATAGAACTTCGTTATTTTGTTATCGTAAAATAACAACAACATAGAACTATGTAAAATTGAATATTTTGTAGTTATAGTGCCGCTATCTAGTGGTTTGTTTTTGCAAAACTAGCTAATGACACATAGAACCTTGTAGCATTAATAACTAAATAAGTACTAAAATTGTAACATAGAACCTTGTAATAATGAGCCAACGAATTATGTATATAGGCCTAAACCTCAAATGCGAGGAATTAGGCCATAGTCCACCACGCTGGTCAAACGCGAGTTCGTAAACTACACACGTCTTTCGATAATTAATTAAGTCCTATCAGATATGCAGGATTTTTCATCCTTTATCATCTATGGCAAACATCTCGATTATTTGGGATGTTAAAATGTACCTAAATATATAAAAATAAATAAGCTTACTCATATTAAATTCAAAATCTTCACTTATATATAAAATTCAACAGTTTGTTTGTCCGTGCTTATCTCTGAAGCTACCAGCCAAAACCACCAATAAAATGTTGCATATTATAGCCTACTTATTGAGGAAGGCCATGTCACCACGCAACAAACTTTAGAAGCGAAGTAAATTATAGTTACTTACTTATTCTACTAAATTTAGATATTTAATACTCATACAAATTTACCGGTAACAGAACGACGTCGAAGTGCCCGGCGATACGTCGCCTCCCCCGGACCTGCTCCCCGTAAGACCACAAAAAATTTCAATATTTCTATTCACTTAGTTGCATCTGTAAATATTGTCATAGTTTCTGAGTGAATTTTTCTTTGAAAACACAAATTATGTGGTCTTATAATATGAGATGAGAAAATATTATATTTATTGTTGTTAACTAACAATATCGCTTTATATATTAACTTTTTTGTATATATTATTGTATATATTTTCATTATTTAATTGGCTATGGATATAAAGCTTTTGAATTTCTAAAAACTAAACTTTGGGCTTTATTTTATGTAAGTATTTAAATACAATTGATTCCTAAAAAAACTTCTTGTAATGTTCTAATTTTACTGTCAATATATTTTTTTGTTTTCTGTATATAAAAAATTAAGCTTTGTTAAAACAAAGTTTTATATTACGTCAATCGGCAGATATCAAAACCGTAAGTGAAACGTATCTGACCTTATGATGATGTCTATATACGTTTCTGAATTCAATTACTTACTTTCCCTTTTATAATGATCTCTTCATTTCAGAAACAGATCTATAATTGGACCCAGTTATGCAAAAAACAGCCATGTGCGTAAAAGTACCAACAGAGTTAGAATCATTTTTCTGTCGACAGTTGCACTTGGGTTATGTTTTGTTTTTTTGGTTATTTTAAAATTGAACAATATTTATATAAGTATTGTTTATTTTTTATAATTATTTTATTTTTTATAATAAAATGCTTATAACTCTGTTGGTACTTTTACGCACATGGCTGTTTTTTGCATAACTGGGTCCAATTATGCGTGCCCAGTATGTAAGCTGAGAGAAGATGGAACAAAACCCCATCTATAGGCCTAAACGTTCAATTCAATTTCTTTATTTAGTCGCAAGCTATATGTTACATAAGTGGACTAAAAATGAGGGGCTCTTGTCATTATTGATACTAAACTCAAAATGACAAGTAACCAATTTTTCGTAAAAATTGAATTGAATTGACATTTATTTAATCACCTTTTAAGAAAGTTAGATAAAATAAGAAAATCCATACATTTTTGTTCAGTATTTTCGATGTATTTGCATTTGTAAATATATAACATCACATTGTAAATACGTTTAAATTTTAAATATTTAATAAATGCCAAATTTCAGGAAGACTTAGAAAACAAGCCTATCGTGGTGGGCGACAAGGAAGTGGATCTGAACAAGATATTTACTCCAGCACCTGATGCTGAAGAGCATATTATCAAGAAAGACCGTAAATTTGGTAAGGTATACTCTATTATTATGTTAATTCCTACTCTATTTTCCATGAGGTTATTTTTCACACTCTTTTCACATTTCTTTCACCATCAATATCGACCGCATTGCGTGCAATAGCTATCGTGTCACGTGTGTTAGAACGCTACGTTTTGCTTTTGTTTCGCCGAACCCGACCAAATGAGTTTCACGATCAATAAGGATATTTACTGGTGCTGTATCATGTACATTTATGTGCCAGACAAACAAATTACTAGGATTTAATGAATAAATTTGTGACGTATACAGACAATTGACTATTTTGTATTCAAGCTAAATCTGAATATACATTTATTATCCATAATAATATTATAAATGTGAAAGTTTGTGAGGATGGATGGATGTTTGTTTGTTACTCTTTCACGCCAGAACGGCTAAACTGATCTGAATGAAATTTGACACAAAGATAGATTATAGTCTGGAATAGCACATAGGTTACTTTTTATCTCGGTACAATTCCCATGGGATAAATTTGTTTTTGTCTAGGAAAGAACAAGAAGCGAAAGGATGATTCATTAGTTATAAATAGTCGGGGGATTAATATGAATTCTGAGGATTTGAACCTCGTATAATATTTATTTTACGAGTATGACTTACAACAAGTACACCTACTATACTCTAGCTCTTATTGGCAACAGCACCCTAATTTCTGAGAATAATCAGTTATGTCAACTGTCAGACCATAGTTCTAAATTCTATCCCAAGGAAAATAGTTAAAATTAACTGCCAATTTGCTACGCTGTTGAATATCGAAGAGCAAGGCGAGATGTTGGTCTGCATCATGTCGGTATAAATAGATGAACTCTCTCACCTTCAAGGCTAGAACTGAGTCGAATGCCTGACTAATAGACAACACGTAATATAACTCATATCTAAACATAAAAAGTGTTTAATTCAATATACATTTTTATAATAATTTAGCCCTATTTATAGACCCACTACCATATTCCATATAGGCCATATTCTGGCCACACTGGTCAAATACCAGCGAACGTCTCACGTCATTCGTAAAGCAATTAGTTTTTCCTAAACATTCATGTTTCCTCGATGTATTTTGCCCTTAGTGAATTAGTTTGTTTGTTAAACTAATGATTCTGAAAATTTAATTCGTGGAAGATCTATGATCGTTTGTGGGCGTTCATGACACGAGAGATTCGGTGTTATTCATGTAGGTTACGATAGTCATTTAGATCTAAACAAGCACGTAAAGAATGGAATACCACTGCTGTGGGTGTATTTTGACCGCCTCGGGGGTCTGGCGGCTATCATGTACCTACGACTTAAGATCCGGAAGTCCTGGGTCTTGGATTGGTCCAAGTATAGTTATTGAGTTAATCTGTCAAGTTAGAAATTCTCAGTGGTAGCTCTGAATTTTTATGTTGGTGATATTTCACCTGTACCTCGAGGAGTTGGTTCTGCGTCGTATCTCTCACCGAATTGACGTCCAACCGGAATATAAGAGTCAGGGGAAAAGAGTGTACTTTTATTTGTGCGCATTATAAAATCTCCTCATGGCTAGTCTCAGCGCGAACATTATTTTTATCACTGCTATACATATAATATTTAAAATCTCTACTTGTTACAAATGTCTCTTCCTGTTTATTTTCATACCTAAACAGAGTATGATATAGTTTCATGACGAAAAATCAAACTTTAAGAGGAATGAAAAGGAGATCAGTATGAAAAATTGCTATAGTTGTATATCTTACATGTAAGACCAATTAAACTTTAGTACTTAAATCCAGAATCGTCTATACACAACAGCTATTTTAATTTCGAAAGAACGAAAATTGAATGAGACGGATTAAGAATATACAGTCATTTTATTAAGTCTTCCTGCCTGCACGTTTTCAAGGCTAAGCTTTATTGATCGTGAGAGTATTTACTACAATTTTTTACGTCATCTATGTTTTTGCAAAAATATTGTTTAAATTTCACATGCTCTCAAATTATACATATTTTTAAGAGGCACTTAGATCAATTTAAAAATGTAATTGATAAATTTCGACTGTTTTGTGGCCTATTTTATAATACATCTCAAAAAAATTTCAGAGAAAACTTTCGCATCATCAGCGTTTTACGTACCAGGAGTGCATCCCACAGTGAAAGAACAAATGGATTTAGCGAGAGCTATTTCCAAGTCGCTGTCCGACTCCAGCAATCATATGAGCAAGGGTCAGAGTATGTACGTGAATAGAAAGAAACGCTCTGTGAAATGGGTGCATGAAGGACGAGGTAAGTTAAATCCATGCATTTAGTAGATTAAATTGATCATAACGCTTAGGTACAGCTTGTTACAATAATTGATTGTAATTAAACAATATTTTATATTTATTAGATAGATGAATACTTTCATATTTACTATACATTACATTTAAAATTAATACAACATAAATACAATTAATGGCAATACTACAATGTTTCGCACTAGGAACCCTAAACATAGAAAAGCGAAATTAAAATAATAAAACTACCTACTAGTTCTCGTAGAGTAAGTATGATGTGAAAATGAACAAAAATTACTGTGTAAATTATGCTATTGAAACCATTTGGACAATCAAGGCAAGTGGGAATTGCCCTTAAACAAACAAATAAGCCGTCACTTTATCGGGGGGCACGGCAGTGCCCCCGCCAAGTCGAGCTTATCACTGACTGAGCCAGGTGTATATTGAAATGAATAACATTAAGCATTACTATCAATTTATATTCCAGGACGCAACACATCTAACACCTGTGCTTCTGCAACTCCAGTCGCGAACCACGACACACCGTACCGTCCGCCATCTAGCCTCCGAAATCAGAAGACCTATCCAAAATCAGCGCTAAAACACTCTTCGAATTTACCAAAAATGGAACCTTTTCCTGTCACACCGCCCACAATAACTGTGCAAAATATTGAAGTACCAGTTCCTTTGGCTCCAACGAAGTTAAATGATGTCTATGCATCACCGAAAAGCCCGCGTTTGCCTCTTGTTTGTGGCCCAAATTTCAATGTAGCGCCACGTGGTTGGGGCGAAATGAAAGATTACTATAGACCTGTCTCACTAGATGGCGTTGGCAATGCTGCTTACACAGATTATTAATAATAACTTAAGACTAAGGCCTTCCATATAATGCCTTAATGGATACTCAAGCTAATATTTAGAATAATTAATTATAAATTCGAAATTTTTGATAGATATGCGATGTAAAACTAATCTTCAATTTTTGCTGATTGCATTGTTATTAGAGGCATTTAAGATGCGTACCAAATAATATAATACGTTTATAATTTAATATTACATGTTTGTTGATTTAACATTTAAGCCCGTTAACTAGTCATATTTTATTATCATATAAATATGTCGGAGGTTATAAAAAGCTAAATATGTAATGCAGAGTTATAAAATTTGTACATATCGCGCAATAAGATACAAGTTTTCTTTTAAATTAAACTTTTGTAATAAACTGAACCTTAATCTTCTTCATGTGTCATATATAATATTTTTTTTCTTTAATCTTTAATCAAAAAGAGAAAAAAATCTACAGATGATAATAACATTAATTATAATGTGTACGGTGCCGATTGTTTTACTTTAAAATTAACATTAGTAGGTATAAGTTTTCCCTAATTAAAAATAAGAATGTGTTTTTATAGATGTTGATAATTTATCTGTGTACAATACTATTTATTTGACGTGTCTGTGGTATTTTCATTTAGTATTAAAAAATAAAAGTATACAAACAGCAGATATTGTATCATTTTTCTACCCAGCTCCTCTTATTAAATATCATATTAAAATGTTTGTTCAAGCTAATCTAAGAAACTATAGAACAGATATTTTTTTCGGTTTATAGCACCAATAGAAAGAAGAATTATCTAGAAAGATTTTAACATAAATAATCTACTGGTATGATCATTTTGTGAATTTAATCGATAAAAAAACGTCTCTTCTAGGCGCACCCGAGAGAAGCCAGTGTAAGCCACTAGTATTGCATACATTTTATAGCTTAACGCGTAGTATATCCCGTCCCAACAAAGCGGCAAAGGTTAAATAGTAGCATTGGACACCTTCTGACACATCCTCAGTGCCGAATTTAGTATATGTTCATGAGGCTTGGGCTTAGGACACAAACTGAATCTAAAAATGTTTCCTATTTTATTTGTTTAATACAAGTACACTGTTTATTTATTTCACTCTCAAACTCCGATTGAACGAAAATTTGACTAACGGGTAAAAGATAAGGCGCAGGACCAACGACTCTACGTGCTCTTCGTGCGGATAAAACACCGCAAACTTCCAAATTCCAGCGGACTGATAATAAGAATTTCTTGGGTTGATACAAAACTTAATCACTAAACAAGGCCCGATCTGCGATTTGATCCCAGGACTTCCAGGTCTGCAGTCGTATATGCTGGCCACTACACCACCGAGACAGGTAAATTCCATTTTCTTTTTATATAGCATGGACCATGGAATACAATCTTGCTAAAGTGTACAATAGCAATTTCATATATTGTGATATAGTATTTTTATTTCACAAGGAGCTCTGTACCGAGTATCTTTACTACCTATTGAACGAATAATATGGATGGAGAGATTGAATGTTTTTTTTAGACACGTGAAGATATATGTATGGATGTACCTATGTGTGGCATGTATACTGTAGTCTCATAAGCTAATTAATTATAATTTATACCTAAACTAGCGACTCGCCCTCGCTACGCTCGGGATCGTTCCTAGATACGTTTTAACGTTTAGTATAGATTCCTCAGAGATAAAGTATTTTCCCGCAGTAACAAGTTTCCTATATGTTGACCCGGATGACTAGCTATCATAAATCATTATACCAAATTTCATCAGAATCTGTCCAGTGATGCGTCCCCAGACAGACACAAAAATTCTAAAAACTATAGATTCGGCCTCTGTATCGATATTAATGACTATTTCAATAAGATTTTCTAAAAAATATTTAATGTACAGATTCGGCTTAGTTACAATTTTAGTTTAAATATGTATATAGATAAATATAGTAGGTATACAGATTAATAGCAATACATCATTATGTAAGGCAAGTGCAAAGTTATAATTAAATCTTATCTTGATTGAACTGGGTGTATGTTTATAAACAGTGTTAGCTTAGTTCTAAGTTTATTTCTTATCGTAAAAATTAAGATAATTTTCACTGAAATAACGTTGCGTAAGCATTGATAAAGTCTAGTTAGAGTTAGGCGTTCCGAACTACTTCTTTGGTAGCAGGTTCAATATTTAGTTATTGCCATTTGCCAATTACTATATGCCTCGATAATAAATATTTAGAATAATAATTATTAATAAACCTTTTTTTATCATGTTCCTGTAAGATGTTGAATCTGTATGACATATGTGTCTTACGCACTTTACCTACTTCTAAATCGTTTGAAATAAAACTGTCTTTTCGAATTTTTTCGCGGATTTATTTTGGTTTTTGTTTCCCGACATTTTGAATGCTTTACCTACAGGCTACAGTACAGATCATGTAATAATATACTAGTTCTACAGCAACTATGGTTTTAGAACGCGTCTCAAAGGTCATTATAGAGATTGTTACAGATATACTAAATCGAATTATCATCGGAATTATAAATAAATTTGTAGGAATAATAAATATCCAGTAATAATAATTAATATAAAATACTAAGAATCAAATACGTCTCACTTTTGACACAGTAAGGACAACAATAGACGTATTTACGTTGCAAATCAAATGACCGTAAAACAAAGAAAGTACCTATGTGTCCGTTTTCTATTAACACTAAAAAGGTACAACGACTTCAAATAACTTAAAAATAATCATTCTACCTATTATAAAATATTAATAATAAAAAAAATTGGTACCAAAAATTTGTGGGGAACTAACGAATCACCCTCGCTCCTCGGGTTCACCTCGGGTTCGTGCTTATTTACTTTTTAACGCTTAGTATAGATTTCTCAGAGATGACATATTTTTCCGCAGTAAAAAGTATCCTATATGTTGACCCGGATAACCAGCTATGATCATACAAAATTTCATCAAAATCTGTCCAGTGGTTTTCTCCTGATGCGTTCTCAGACAGACAAAAATTCTAAAAACTATAGATTGGACCTCTGTATTGATCATAATGACTATTTCAATAAGATTTTCCAAAAAATATTGAATGTAAAGATTAGATTAAGATGCGACTCAGAATTGTAATATACTCGTATACCTTAGATATAGATTGTGCAAATCAATTCACATTTATATCGTCTAACTGCAAAGAAAAAACTATAGAAGAATTAAATATGTACCTTAAGTACCCTTTTTTAAATTGAATAAAATCAAGTGCCGCTAAAGTCAAGTAGAGATTTTGACGACACGCTTGGCTCAGTTTGTAGTGACCCTACTTGCTGTGCCAGCGGTCGCGGGTTCGAGTCCCGCTGGGGGCATTCATTTGCGTGATGAGCGAACGAACGAATATTTGTACTGCAGTCATGGGTGTTTATATTAATAATATTATGTACGTATTTAAGGTAATATATGTATAATGTATCAACTATCTGGTATCTATAAACACAAGCCTTGTAGCTTACCATGGAACTAGATGGTGCTGTGTGTTAATGTCCTAACATATAAAAAAAAAGAAATAAAAGTATGTTAACATTGGGTCTTAAGATATAACTAATGAGTCTTGTATGTTATTATTATTTAAGCTTCCTAATATGAATTAAGGATCACGGAAAAATAAATATATTTGTTCTTCCTCATTTCATATCAGAATGCTATTTCGTTACGGAAGCATGGTGCCAAAGGAACAGGAAGTGTCCAGTGAACTTGATATTCTATATTCTACACATACCTATAATAAAATTCTAACTGAGTCGAATCTGTACATTAGATATTTTTTGGAAAGCCTTATTGAAATAGTCATTGAACTATCGATACAGAGGCCGAATCAAGAGTTTTTAGAATTTTGATGAAATTTGGAGGGATGATAGCTGGTTATCCGGGTCAATATATAGAATACATTTAACTGCAGGAAAATATCACATCTCTGAGAAATCTACACTAACCGCTAAAACGTACCTAGGGAGCGTACGAGCGGAGCGACGGTAAGAGCGAGTCGCTAGTTATTAGTTAAAAGAACCAAAATAATCGTTTGTTACAATTTCGCCTTCACTTACGGTTGGAATGGCTTATTGCAAAAAAGCTAATGCTTTTATTTAATGGCCAATTTCAAAAACAACGAAGTTACCGAGGTCCTACCTACTCATTTCCGCTGTTTTTTGTTTGTATGTTAAGTAATATCTTCCCCAATTGTGAATTGATCATAATTATTTTTTTGATAATACCTCAAGAATATGTACATAAATAGGGGATACTATACACATGTATTATGTATATTATATTATACAAAAATCAATCCCACCCTTAAAGGTTGCATATTTCTTTTAAGTAGGTAACACCACCTCTCCTGCCCTCGATTAGTTCAGACGTATGTGTAGGAAGTTTTTTGCAATATCCAACGGTATCTGACTAGATGTACCGGAACAAAAGCACTGTCTGACCCATAAACTATTTCTAAGCAATAAATCACGTCGATCCGTTATTCAATTACTTGTAGTATAGCATTATGTGATCTGTAATAGAACTAAGGCATTTATAATTTAAATATACACATACCTAAGGTTTCAAAAGTATAAATATAGACCAAATTTTTGAAACCATCTATAAATAACAAATAAATAACTCTTGTCTTGACATTTTTTGTACGAGTCCAGTGCAATTCGATATAGTCCCAACCGATTTGGGCAACGAGGGCCAACTTCACTGAGACTAGCAAACTAGTATATTCAAATCCAAAATATTTTATTCAGCATCAAATTATTACATTTTATTACTCAACTATTATTGCCCGCGGCTCCGCCCGCGTTCAGATGACCAAAAACCAAATTCTTAGGTTTTACATAATTATTAGTGTACTCTTTCTTACAATGCAGTTTTTATACTTTTTCTCAGAAATGAGATATTTTCCCGCAGTAAAAAGTATTCTATATGTTGACCCGGATAATTAGCTATCATCATACCAAATTTCATCAAA